CAAATATCACGTGTTTGTTTGTGTTTTTTTGCCGGCGGGGGGGGGGGACTATGGGGAATCACTCACACTCACAAACACCGGGCTGTCCTCGGATCCCCCGCTAAAAGTTCAAGCTTTAGTGCCCCGCAGGACTATGGGTCGTAACGTGGTCGGTGGTTAGACCACGAGCCACGAACGCTCTTGCTCAAGTAAAATTTGGCGCAAGTGCCAAGTGCTAAAGAAAAAATCCCACCATAAACACTAAAAAGCTAAACATCTAAGGAACCAGAGGGCTGGGAACCCCTGAGCCCCCTGATCTTTGCCAACTGCACGCTTTACTTTTGCCAAGAGCTGCTCAGCGCCTTCAGCGCGTAGGTCTCGCCGGAATCTACCTGCGACGCTCGATGGGTGTCTGACCCCCAAAATGGCTGAGTGTCCCGGTTGGCTTTTGCTCAACACACACACACACGAAAAACATGGGGTACTCTCAAAAAAGGACACACCCAAGTCGTGTTCCGTCTGATTCCCAATAACCATGCGGAAAAAAAAGTTTAACTTAGGCAGTTGGACTGCAAGCGATTGCAAGTTCCAGAGGCCGAAATGGATATGACGAACAAAGGGAACCCCACCAGTGAGCTGAGGCCGGGCTCAGGCCAGGCGTGAAGCTAACTCCGGGCAGTCGGCTAGATGTTCGGTGAAATAAAGCGTTCTCGGGCCTTCAAATGAACAGCAGGGTTGAAAGCAATGGTCCACAAGCCGGGATTTAGTCTCAGGCTGGAAAAGAGATAAAACCTGGAAGTCCAAGCAAACAAAAAACAGAACTAGGAGGAAACCGTTCATTGAACATTGCATGTTACGGAGAACAAACAAAAACGGGGGGGGCACCCCAGAACCCCGCCCACCCCCCCTGACGCCACGGAAGGGTTCTTAGAACCTTCTTAGAATGGAGTTCGTGGACGAGTTCTCAGAGCCTTCCGGCCTGGAGGAACCAAACAGCATCCTCCCTTCAGACCCGCTGGTTGATTAACAGGCATCACCCATGTGGGTGGGAATTTTAATGAGGGACCCTCTGATGTCATTTGGCACCTGAGATAAGGAAACACCAAATATGGCACCTTTCTGGGGGAACTGCCACCAAGTTTTGTAAGGTGGATGATGTCCTTTGCCAATGCCGTGGATGGGCGAAATACACTTCTCACCACTTGGAAACCATGGAAAACTGGGCTGCCCTCAGATCCCCGCTAAAAGTTTAACTATAAGTGGGTTAAACGGAAACTACCACAAAACACTAAAAGGCTAAAAAGCTAAGTGGATGGCTGGGAGCCACCAAGAAAACCATTGTTGATTGGTATTTACGGGAATCATCATTCAGGGTTTCTCAGGTGGTGCAGGATTTCGTCCATCCACAGTATCAATTATCATCACTTCAAACATTCCAACAGTGAAAGGACTTCCAAACCAACACCAAATAAGACTGTGGTCGTCCACCCCATCCATCCCCTACCCTACTTGGGTGTGCTTTCCGCCGCTACGTAATCGCGCGTTTGGACGCATTTCGTGTGTTGCATTTCGTGTGGCCTGCGTGGGACTTCCTAGACATGTATCACAAAAGCGACACATTTTGCATGGTATTTCACACGCTCGCGGGTTCGCGGGGGGGGGGGGGAGGAGGCGTCTTGGGGTGGGGTGGGGTCATAAGCGCCGCGCCACGCGATCACGTGTATCGCGGGGGGGGGGGGGGGGGGGGGGGGGGAGGGGTGGGGTCTTGGGGTGGGGTGGAGTCATAAGCGCCGCGCCACGCAATGTGAAGGAAAAGACTTTGCGGATTCTAGATGCGGATTTCTGTGTCCCTGTACCCTATCATAGAAAGTTCTTGTCTTGCAGCCGCATAATCATCGCATTGTTCGGTTACAAGTGTTGGAAGGTTTTGTTGGACCCACCATGGCTTGTTTCAACAGAAAGCGGACCGGGGCTGATCAAAGAATCGACATGATTGGTAGCAAGTCTGCCAACTATATTCGCATGGGGGCATGTTCTTGGTACAGCTTTGGCTTCTCTTCTTTCGGCTGGTGATCCCTTTTGCTCGCAATCTTAAATCGCTTCGAAAGCACGAAACCTAGGCGAAAAGGACCTTTCCCCCATTTTTCCAGAAAAAAGCGAGAGAACCACCAGACCTCCTTCAAGTTAGTTCTTCTGTTTCGTGTGGCCTGCGCGGCACTCGGCGACTACCTGCAGAAAGCAAGGCGGGTGGCCGCGCGGTTACGCGGCGGCGGCGCGTTGTTGGGGGTACCACCTTCTTGGGTGGCGTTAAAGGAAGGCCAAAACAAAAAGGCACCCAACAAAATCATGTTGGTCCTCTCAAAGAACGACGCACCCACTTGTTGTAATCGCTGCCCGTTCCCGTTCTAAGCGTAGATGCATGGCCCTGGCAATTGGGGGCAGTAAACACAATCTAAAATAAACCAATCCAAAACAACAAAAACCAACTCTAAAAAAGCCAAGCTAGGCCAACACCCAAACTACTAACTAAACCAACCAAAAAAGGGCAAACTAACCAAACTAACCAAGCTAACCAAACTAAGAAAAACAAACCGAGCCTAAAAAGGACACCTATGGACAAATTCTCGGGGCCGAGCTGCATGCTCTACGAGCTCCACAGCACCGAAGCCGCCGCAGCCCAGCAAGCCCAGCTGCTTCAGCTTCTTCCTGCCGTGAAGCTTCGCAGTCCCAGGAAATGATGGCGCCCGTGATTTTCTTTTCGGGGGGAGGGGGCCTCCAAAAACTGAAGGGTTTTGAAGGGAAAGCTTGAGGAAAACTATTGGAGGGGTTTCCTTTGAAGTGAACTAGGGCATAAGGAAAGAAAGTCCCTTTTCATGGTTATTGGAGGTTTGACGTTCTAAGAACCTGAAAGGGGGGGGCAGCCCCAAAAAGGAAGGGTTTGAAGGGAAACCTTTGTTTTGCCATTCTGGGGGAGAAATTTTGAGACACTCCCCAAATTCCGGTTTACTGGAACATGAGTGTCTTTGCAGAGGGGAAACTTGTTGGGGTGTTCTAAGGGGAAGTCAAAGCCCATCGTGCGGTCCAAAGCCTATCTTGAGACAAACGCGCAGCATTGGCTAGGTGCGAACCCCTTCTGCTGGTCTGTGTTGCTTTTGTTGCTGGTGTTCACGGCGCTGTTGTTGTTGCCGCCTGTTGTCGCCGCTGCCGCTGCTGCTGTTGGCGGTGGTGGTAGAGGTGCTGCGGGTGATGCTGCTGCCGCGACTACAACTGCTGCGGCTGCTGTCTTTGGAGCGGCTTGAAATATTGTTGAAATATTGTTGGTAAGCTCTCGAGGCAGCAATACTTGAGGAGACATCCATGACACACATGACGGCTTGGGTTGCCACCCTACCGCAAGTGTTTGCTGCTACATGTATCAAACGTCATACACTGTTGGTGAAAGTGGTGCAACCTGACCCATGACTACGTTCGGTTGGCCCAGTTTGCTCTCCGCGTGGCTCTTACATGGCCTTACACGGGAAACAGAACAGGCACTTCATCCGCCCTGTGTCAAAATAGTATACCCCCGACCCCCACAGAGTAATGTGTAACAATGGGGCCAGCAGCATTGTATGGATTTGGAAGGACAGGCTTAAACAATCACTCGAAAGGTTCCTACACTGAATGACATGCCCATGCTGGACCAATGCCGGACAAACTGCTGAAACTGCAGCGGTGATGCATGATGACCCTGCGCCTCTCGATGTTGCCGAAGCGCTTGCTGCCTGACCATCTGAGACACAGGTCACGGAACCCTGGGAGCTGTTTGAGAAAGGCTTTGGGCACCGTGAGAACAGATCGTGTCCTTTTCAATTCTGTCTGTCAGCCTCCATCGGGCCCGCCCTGTTTAAACCTAAGCTTGCTGAAGTAGATTGCTACAAAGGCTCGTTCTTCTTGTTCGCCGGCTGAACGCTCTGAGATTGGCAGACTTGTCTCTGAACATCCTGCAATCAACTGTCCAAACATAGACAGGAAAGCAGCAAACTCCCGACACGTCTAGATCGCGTAGGAAATCAATTGTTCGCCATTTCAACCCGCTATAAACTGTTTTTATGCATTATCCGTTCCATTTCTCGATTCGCGTTGATCTGACTGAAACTGTTCAACAATGGGGGTGAGTTCGGGATGGCATCTGAAATCTGTCTTGCTCCAAGAAAAATCTTGCATCAGGTGAAAGATGTAGCGATACTTGACCGCAGCTGTGTTGTGCTGGCTCCATACTGCCAATGATTTGAACGCAAACGCTGGCACTCTGACGAAGCAGGGAAAGTCAGGTGATCACACAAACACCACAAAATCGGATCCAACATGTCAAAACAAAACATGCGACCTGCCTGAGTCAGAAAGTCCAACCCAAGCCCCACAATCGGGGGACCCATGGGTGGCTTTCCTGTTCAGCCATCCTTTAAACCAACCTGAAAGAGCTGAGAAATTCGGGGCTCAAAGGATCAATGCAGAGCCACTGCATCGCCAAACATCCGTGGCTCTCACAATCGGGAGGTGGCTCTTCAGTCCCGTTTTAAAAAGCCGCAACACAGGTACGCTCGAACAACTTTTCTGAAGAACCCTTTCCCTCATAGAATCACTTCCTGACAAACAGTCAAATCGATACTCGAGTACCATATAATGCCACAACTCCAACAAAGGAACTGGCCGGCAACGACACAAAGCACTTGATTGATCATGGTCAGCAAGTGCGCCGACATACAGCTCATGGACATGAGTCACAAGTGAGATGAACCTAAACGGATAGAATGGTATGGCGGGAAACAATCAAACCGACGCATGTAGCTAGCCACCTGTCAAGCTCTACCCAGACCGCAGCCTCCGCTTGGCGGCAATGTGAAGGAGATCTTGAGTCAAGGGATAACGTGTTCTGCACTGCCAAAAGATGAACATGTCATCTACCACAGGACATATGCTACAGACAGGCTGTGCTTGAGAACCCCATGCAGATGCACGGAACGACCCCGGCATGTAGGTCATTGGACCAGGATCTCGAAGGACTCTGCCCCGCCTTCAACCTTTGGCTTGACTTCATTCTTCTTAGTCAGCACGCTGGGTGCATCCTGCAAGGGATGGGTTGGATGTTGCTGGATGGTTTGCTGTGAACACATAGCAAGCGCGTCATTGTGGTCCCCCGGTCAATCGACAACGAGAGTGAGTGAGCTTTGTCTGGTGGATGTGCTATATTCTAGGCGTGCAACATCAGGTATCTGTAACATGTAAATTATGGTCTCTTGCGCAAGTGTTTATTCTTTCTGGTGTCTCAAGTTCATTTGTTATTTTAGCCCGGCAGCATGCAGGAAGTGGGTCATGGACATTACCATCTGCCAATCATCATTGAGCATTCTGACAAAACACATGTTGACAGGGAGTGCACTTGCTGTCGATGTTCAACTGGCCGAGTTCAATGGCCGGAACTGGTTCACCTGGCATCAATGATGTCCCTCCTTGTAATAACCTATCCAGAAAAGTTGCAAAACAAAACATCAAATTGGTGGTAGAAAAAGACTAGTAAGTAGTTACTTGGCAAGTATTGTCCTTCTAAGCTTTCTCAGGTGTGTTCCTGAAATCGTTTGCCCTTTACCTTGCTCGCACTGGGCCGTCCTGGCTTCGCTTGTTCAGGTCTTCCAGCGGTCCTAGGATCATGTCGAAGGTGACCTTGTCCATGACCAAAGCCTTGACAAATGTTGAACTTCATGGATGGGTCTCGACAATCGAAATAACAAAAAAATCAAAAAAAAATCAAAAAAACAAAAAAAAAAAAACATACATCCCAGGTGCCTAACTTCGCAAAGGAACTGTGCGAAAGGAGGCCTGCCCTGAAACATTGAAACATTGAAACATACGCACAATTATGCTAACACTTTGCCCGTTCTGCAACTCAAGACACAAAAAAGTCAAACTCCGCATGGAACACGTGGCAACATTGGCCGAGCAACGATCAGTCTTGATTGCCCTTTCCCAGCATGACAGTTTGACCGCATATACCAGCCTGCAACAGCCTGCACCTGTTCGCATGAATAATGCAACACGTCCAATCAAAGGTATTGCGTCACCCACAGTGCAACCTCCAAGACAGCTCCACATAACAAGCACCCACAACCTTTGTCAAGCGTGGCACTAGTTCTTCATTTCTATGATACGTCATCACTGTCGAGGGTTGTCCATCGGCACAAACTGCTAGCGCAACATGCCGTCAGGATGGCATCTGGTGCTTGAGAAATCATACATCCATGTCGCTTGTTCTGGGGAAACGGCTTTAAAGTTGAACCTGGTCTCAATGGTCATATCAACAGCCCAACATATCCAAACTTCCATTGCAACAGGTCATCAGCAATGAGTCCTTCGGCGGTTAAACCATGCCCAATGTTTCCTTCCAATGTTCACGCTGGATTAATCCACCTGGCAACTGAATGCAGTAGAAGGTATGCCCCCGAAAATTCGATGGTAGAATGGGCTGCGCCATCAGGGAGTGTATTCTTCGACGTCGCCATTACGGTGGCCTCCCAAAGCGTAGAGAAAGTGGCGACGAAAGCCGCTTCCGACAACCACGTGATCGCATATCTGGGCTGTCTCTGGGCTGTCCTCAGATCCGCCGCTAAAACTTTAAGTTTTAGTGGGTTAGCTGGCAATCCCGACTAAACACTACAAAGCTAAAAAGCTAGAGATCTGAGCAATGCATGAGAATTCACACTCCGAAAATTTTGGGATCCCTACCAAAGAAACCTTCATGGGTGAGGCAGCAACCCTCCCAGGGACGTCGTGATGATTTGCCGAGATACAATGTTAACTTCAAATGCATCCAAAGGACTCTACTAGTCAGGGGTGATCTATTATAGGATGCTCCTCTCACCAGTGGGTCCTCTGGATTAATACCAAGTCACATTACCCAGCATCTTCCTTGAAATCAATGGACTTTGGTTCTGCCATGGTAATAAAGAGAACAAGCCTGGTAGAACCATATCTAGGTCCTCCAGTAGAGAGGTTAGAATAAGGGTACCCTTTTTTCTGTAGTCTATTTTAGTAGGGGAACCCTCCCCGCAAGAAAGGTGAGAAAGGGCACTACTGGGGGACCTAAATGTACTAAACCGGCCCTATCCCGTTTTGGGCGCTCAGGTTCACGCGGGTCCGCGCCTTCGCAGCCTCGGAGGTCACGCGGATGGTCGCAGCGCGGGGCTCCTTCGTCAGCAGCGCGCGCTCGCCGAACATCGAGGCCTGCGGTGCGAAGTCCAAACAAGAGCTTGGCGAAGAAAACCAGAAATCGAGGCTGGGGCGAGTAACCCCTGTTCTTTGCTCATCCAACACTGGCCAGAACAGTTTAAAGATGTTCTACCGTTCTACCAATAAGACACATGGACATAATCTGGCTTGTTCGCAGTGGGGGGGATCCCCAGTCCCAATCCATAATCCGTAGTTAGTGGGGACCACAAACAAGGAAGACCACTACCATCTGGCAAAAGTATTGAACAAACCCAGAAAATCACCACACCTGCTGCGAACTAACTTGTCAAATGAAATATCAAGTTGAGCAAACAAAGAGGTCAAAACCCACCAGCCTTCAAGATAGCGGTTGTTTTCCCAGAACGAGGTCGGGGGGGGGGGGGGGGGTGGCAGGTTTTTTCAACCAAAATTTATATTACAATAGTCTTACAGGGATCTACTGGATTGATTGTACAAACACCCAAGAGGAAAGACCTACGAAAGCCAAAACCTCGGAAAGCCCTGAAGTTGACCGCGATGGGCTGTGGTCGGCTTGCTCGCCACATTGAGGCAATCAGCGGGCAGTTCCAAACGGCCGAGTCCCTTGAAAGCAACCACATCTGACTCGGATTCAAGTCCCTTTCTGAGCCGAACCTGAATGACAAGGAAGTTACTAAAGGTACAAGGGACGGGATATAGTTTCTTCTCTTACCCCTCTCCATCGCTTGTTTCCCAGCCCGCCATATACATGTTGAATGGAGGCTCGGACATCCACCGTCCATTGGCTAGGAATGGACGGGGAGGTGTATTGGGGAGGAAATGAGATTCGGCATTAGACCCTTTCTTCTGACGGAGCTAACCCGCTCGGACTTAGCTATCTGTCGCTCTGCTTCACCATTCTCATCGGTCAAACCGTTTGTAGAGGGAAACTTGGGGAGAGAGACAGTAAGCCATAAAGCCCTTGATCAATAGCCAGGGCTGACTGGACAGTCCTTCCTCGTAAATGGGAAATGCTATCCCTTCAAACATAGAATCCAATTCAAACCGTCAATCATAGCATTTCCAATATCACCTATAAATATGGGATCTCTTTGCATCTCTTTCACCATTCCTTTCGTCTCGCCTCTGTTCTGTTTGTTTGAGGCTTACCATGAAATCTCTTTACCTCCCCTCTCGCCGTCTTCCATCGATTGCATCTCTGGCGACACGAAAGGAGAGAGTCCGTCGCGCGTCGTAGCTTTCATGTGGGGATTTTCCGGTCTCGCGGCAAGCGTGCGATTCAGCACTCCCCCAGACTAACATGGAAGCTCCCCGAAGGCCTCTGTAAATGGAACCAACTCTTCCCAAGGGGTGCTGGGAGCTTCCATGTTGGTTCGGGGGAGGGTAATCAAATCAGCCAGAATGTGACATCTTGTGTTCCGATGATGAGCTATCAAGGGCCCAACATTACTCAGTTGTATATACCCATACTTTGGTTGCCGGGATGGGAGGGAGCGTTTGCCGACGCTCCCAGCAACTCTCAAGGACATCAAAGAGCTGTTCAAAGGATTAAGCAGTGAACCATCGCCATTCATTCACACAGCTTCGGTGTCGGAGATTTGGATGGAGCTGACTGTAGGCTCCGAAGGGGCACCACACAAACAATCAGGTACTGTGGAGGGAAGAAATCCTGCACCACCTAAGAAACGCTGGAAGGATGAATCTTCTGTAAATCCCAATAAGCAATGGTTTCCCCTAGTTTCCAAGTGGTGCAGGATTTCGTCCATCCACAGTATCTGTCTTTGTGTTGCATGAGCCAACAATATCACCAAAAGCCACATAAGCTAATCAAGCTTTCTTGCGGAGCGCTGATAGAAACATGTTAACGCCAGAACGTGTAAGCGACAAAACACCACCATCACACACACACACACACAGACACGCCATCGCAATGTCCCATTTCTGTGGTACCAATAGAAGGCTTTCCAAATGACAAATTCTTCGTTTAAATGGAGGGTTACCTGGTATCACAACAAATGAACCCCTCATTCTCACAACCGTGCCATAACTGAGCTGTCCTCAGATCACCCACTAAAAGTGTTTAACTTTTTGCGGGTTACATGGACACTACCACGAAACACTGAACAACCATTCAGGCTAAGGAAGCGGATGGCGGGGAGCCACCGAGACGAGAGGTGTGTCCTTCTGCCAGCTGGGTCTCTCTGCACCGCGCGCCTGTGCTGCTGTGGCCTTCAGCTTCGTCTGCTCCGAGCCATCCTTCACAACTGCAACCTCCCAGGTGCGGTGTGAAGACTTCAGATGGGTGCACGCCTTAGAACCAAAGGCTTCCATTTGCTTCTTCACCCCCTGGAAAAATAAAACCATATTTCCAATAGTGATAGATCCCCTTTAAAACCAACAAGGGAAAATTCCACATAATACGTAAGCAAATGGAAGCATATCTTAACACCACGATACCTAACTACTCTTGGCTACAAGGGGCCCACGAGGAGTCAAACACGGGTTACCATGGAGAGCAGTCAAGGAAGAAGAGTATCGGTGTTGGCCGATCAAGCTTGTACAATTTGTCTTGAGGTATGCATCGGGGGTGACTGCCACCCTGTAATGAAGAAGTTTCCACGACCAGTGTTTTTGCCGTTCTTCGCACCCTTTCTGTTGTTTCGGCACTTGTTCTATTGGCAATATCTTTACTTGCAAACCAACCTGCAGAGTGAAGTGGTAACAACAGCCGGTGTCCAAATGCCTTCCAGCAAAAGGGGTAAACAAAAGGTCAGTACACGCTGGTTTATTGCCAATATCTCACACTGGATTTTCTGCAACAACACCTGCTATAAGTCGTGCTAGGTGGTTTGACTGGAGGAATGGCCTCTCTCTTTGCACCTCAGATCTTTCACCTGGCGTGCTTGCCTTTAGACGCCGGCTTCGGGTGGCTTAAAGGATCATGCACACGGCTTTTCTCATAACCTCTACCAAACTCCGCGCGCTCTCCTGTGACCGAACCCGAAATGGGGTGTATCCAAGTTTGAAGCTTTCCCTCAGCTCCCAACAGAGAACCAAATTGCGCAGACTGGTCCAGATGTTGTGTATGTGGGGACCCTTGTTGTCATTGCCAGGCATGGGTGCAGTACTAAGCGGGTGCGTGTGTGTGCATACCATTTGCCATGCGTGGGTGCAGTGCTGAGCGGTGCGTGAGCGGGTGTGCTTAACATTTGGCAGGCATGAGCGAGCACCTGTAAGCGAGTGCGCTTACCAGGTGAGCGGGTGCGTGTGATCTAGTCTGCTTACCATTTGCCAGGAAATCGGTGCATTGCTGAGTGGGTGCACGTGTGTGCTTACCATTTGCCAGGCATGGGTGCAGTGCTAAACGAACGCATCATGGGCGCAGTGGTGAGCGGGTGCGGTGAGCTAGTCAGTGGGAGAACATGCTAGGTATCTTGCCGCGCCAGTGGGGAAACGAAGCAGCTTGTTGCTCGTCTACAGCCTGCCCGAGGGAACAAATGGTGCTCTTTGACAAGCTCACCTGCATGATGCCTGAAGCAATGGGCTGATACTTGCGGTGCTGGAACCCTTACGCCAGGATCGAGGGGTTGGGAGGGTGTTGTTTCTCGTTTTGGCAATTTCTTTCGGTCGCAACTGCGTGCGCAGACTGCCCTGGCTCAAGCCTGGCAGGCGGACAATCAGACTGAAAATATGTCTTGTACTTCAGATTGCGAACAAGACGTGCTTTTATTGCCAGCTCGGACTTAGTTTATCTGAACGGTCTGTGAGCTCTTCTCCATCCGGATCTCGGGCTGATGAGGAATTCCATAATATATGAGCTGGTGGTAGCGGAGCCTGGTTTCCGGTGAGAGCACGTGTCATAAAACAGCGACAATGATCCGCCCGTCCTTCGGCCAACATCGGTGGAACACACGTTGCCTCCATCCGATGCCCATGTTAGCTGGCTCCGGAGGAAGTCGGGACTGAACCACATTCAAAGCAGTGGTTCCGGGGAAATGCATTGTAAGTTGCCGGAAGTTTTTTTTGTTTTTGACAAACAAAGCAACAAACAAAAACAACAACGAGCAAGCAAGCAAGCAAGCAAACAAACAAGCAAACCAGCAAGCAAGCAAGCAAGCAAACAAGCAAACAAGCAAGCAAACAAGCAAGCAAACAAGCAAGCAAACAAGCAAGCAAACAAACAAGCAAGCAACCAAGCAAACAAACAAACAAACAAGCAAGCAAAGAGATGACAGCAGCAACAACAACGATCACGACAACAACAACAACGACGACACAGTAACACGCGCCACTCCGTTTCTTCTTTTGTCCTCTTTCCACGTGCGAAAAAGGACACCACAAGGACACTGCACGCATTTGGCGCCTCGCCGTCAACGAGGATGTAGAAGTCCTCGCCCTGCTCGCCCTGCTGAAAGATCTCCTCGCCCTTGGAGAAGGACATCTCTGTGAGAGCCTTCCTCGGCGCAGGGAGCTTGGGAACCTCAAGGCAAAGTCTTACAGCCAGTTAGGTTTCATAGGGTGCAGCCAGGCTCACTCCGTCTGAGTATTAGAGAACAAACACTTGGTGCGTGTATCCAAAGCTGCTCGCATGAGCAAAAGCTCTGACCATTTGGAGGGCAACGGAAAATCCAAACTTGTTTCCAAAGGTCTAAGCGGTGATTCAGTCGCACAGACCGAATCGCCCTGCCAGTTGCCGTCAGGAAAGAGATCGTCCGGACCTGTGAGCTCATTTTCCTGTAGAATCATCGGAGAATGCAGAGAGAGAGAGAGATGCAACTGTCTACCTCTTTTGGCCCTGTCGTATTGTTCATGGGTCAAAAGCCCTGGGGTCGAGTGAACATGCAGGTACCACATGTTCCCATGTGATGTCTCAAAAACCCGTTTTTGAAGGAGTTCTCTTGTTGCATGCCTCCGTGGGGACATTGATCCCTTGGACTTCGTCTTGGAGACTGCTGGCAACGGAGGCCTGAAGAATCAAAATGATGGCGCCAAATCTGTTCGTCGTCTCCCTTGTGCATTTTGCCTGGCAGAACCAGTCTCGGCTGCTAACAAGCGGATTTCCACTATCTTTGCTCTTGCCTCAAGTTCCTCACGTCTACCGAAGTCTTTTTATGGATAACATTTGAGCCTGGAAAACTGTGCCACTGGGTCAGAAGGAATACACTACGCTTGTACCCTCCAACATGGAAGACCTGAGGACTGGCGTCCAAACCTCGCCTGGAAGCCGGGTCCAACTACTGAGAATTTGTTCCCCCCTATGGTACCGACTGGGGGCCTCCGGAAAAGAAACACGGCCTAACTTAATTCGGCCATATCGGTTTCGCCGAGACACGCCACTGCCTCCTTCTCATCTGGCTTCAACTTCGACAGCAGCTGCACCTGGACAGGCGCCAAACACATGGCCAACTGGAAGTCAGGGACCCAAAACCCATCGGTCAAGTGGGATTGCTCGATGATCTCATTCCGTGTTGAGCCCCGGCGAGGCCTCTGCAGCGCAATTTGCAACCAACTGTGATGCCCACACGGGTCCAGTCTAAAGAGCGAGTCAATGTAGTGGAAACCCCTTCAAACATATATCAGATCGAAGACTATGGGTAGTCTGACCTGGCAACCATAACCACTGCGACGGGGGGAAGAGTCCCGCAGAATTAATATGTGATGCTCAGCATTTGTATTGTGCTCGAATGCGCTCAGGGCAGCACAGCTGCATTTCAACAAAGAGGGAGGCAGAGAGAGAGGGAGAGACAGCACAAACAATCACAAACAAAACGACAAACATGCAGCTGGCGACAGGCACGTTGATGCGAACAATTTGCATCGAGCTGGAGTGCTGCACATCCAACTGAATTTTAGAGCCATCGATCAAGCGGCGGTTGCATGGGCTTGACCTAAGTACCAAATGCTTGGCAGAAAAGGTTGCACCAACGCTTTGCTCATGGCAGGTGTGGGGATTGGAACAAATCTTCGAACCCTCAACTTAAGCACAAACACATCGCAACGGGTGCCTGTCACCCCTGTACACTAACCTCTTGGATAGGACTCTTGGACCAAATTACCTGCATCCTCCATGGGAGGAATCCAGCGTTTTCACCAGAAACTGAGCGGCCGGGCCTTGTCGAGATACTTGATGTACTCCTCAGCCCGGTTGCCGAGGGAATGGGAGCAAATATGCCCATCACTCAAGTACATCATTGCCAAGCAAGCATCTGGGATAGAATATTCCTTGGCCTAGATGAGATCTTGCAACGCAAAAACATCAACGAATTGAGGTTTGCCTGTTGTTTCTCTCATTTTCCGTCTGACATTATTCAACCTTCCACTCACCCTTCCGCCAAGCTTCCGCGGCGTAAACCCCTGCTTCCACGGGCATGATATGTTAAAATTGCTTCCGCAGGCTTCTGTGGGCACGTGTTGGGCACGTGTTTGCCTCCGCATTGCCTCCGCGGCCACAGTGGCTCATTTTGGGCTTCTGTTGCGAGCAACACAAAATCCTTCCATGGAGGTTCTGCTAAGCAAACCCTTTCGCAAATCTTCCGCGACGGCGATTGCAGTCCGCATTTGCATGAATCATGTCCACCTGCCTTCTTGGCAAGAAAACACAAACCTCAACTGAAAATCACAGCTCCGCTCTTCGCGCCAACCGAATTCGGGGGGCGGGGGGGGAATTAATTATTGAGTTGTTTGCCACACCCGAATGAGGTCGCACCTCCCAATTGATGAGCACGCCAAATGATGAGCACGCTTGCTCTACTACTGCGCCCCCACTCGGCTGAGCTCCCGAATACCAAAGGACTGGTGTAACTTTGAAACTGACTCTTGGTGGCATGCCTAAAAGTACGAATCCTTGTGAACTGCCAATGATTTTGCACGTTAACTACATGTTGCACGAGTTGGGCAAATCGCATGCTGTTTGTCCATCGTGGCTCAGCTCATGCTATGCTTGAAAGGGTAATTGCCGCGCTCCCGCGGAGCTTCCCATGTTTCAAAGTAGAACAACATGTATTGCCAAATATGTTTTGGGCTGTCCGTTTTCAAATCCCCTGCTACAAGCCAAAAGTGAATATCTTTAGTGGGTTAAATGGCAATCTCCACTAATTAACCACTATAAACTAAAAAGCTGCGGAACCGGAAAGCACAAAACTGTCAAGCTGCCCACTGTTCAATCTGTCAACAAGGCGCCATGGTGCTACATATGTGAACATGATGTGCGAAGAATGCGACCCAGGCCTCACACAAACAATACAGAACCACTTGGCAGGAAAAGAGCTTGTAAGTCATTCAATTCAACACAACATCCGTGCACCTAGGCGATGATGTATCTTTTCAAACAGTGACTGTCGCATCAAATCATCATGCAGAGCTTTTACAAGACCCCAATGGTGACTCGTGGTTCCATACTCGTGGATTTCACTAATTACATTCCTTTCTGAACGGAACTCAAATGGTCCTGATGCTTTCTACATGCTGCTCAGACTACTATGTGAGTTATGAGCATATGACATGGGCAAGAAGTTTCGGCATGCACAGACGTCTCCGCACAGAGCTATGTTTGCACGTAAGCTGCATTTAATGTTCAAGAACACCATGCGCATAGCCAATCGTCGTGGGCCGATTCTCAAAAGCTGGACGTGCAAGCCTCGATCCGTGGGCCTCCCAACAGGCTGATCCCAAGCAAACATCCTTGCCAAGCAAACAAACATTTAATTCAACAATCTTTGCTGCTCCAAATGATACTGTGCCGATCGCACAGCCCAGCATCCTCTCCGCAGGCGTTTGAACAAAGTCCGCCAAGGGCTTGCAAACACAGAATCTCGAGAGACTGTATAGCTGTGGGAGGATGTGTACCGCATGACGCACTCACAACCAACCGCAGGTTTCACGCCTTGGCGATGCTATCCGCAGACTTGGCCAAGACTGTCTTGAAGGTCTTTCTGTCCACCACCCAGACCTGGGATCGGCACGAATGGCTCGGTTCCAGGACCTGAATGAATCCTATCTTGGCGACCCCTTGCAAGGACTCATTGGTCAAAAGGAAACATGAAGGAAACCCAAAAGCGCCACTGAGACGGTGCATTTTGCCGACGCCAAGGGGCCACGGCTGCCTCCAAAGCTCGGACAGTAGCGGCACGAGGGGCGACGTAGAGCAGAGCGAGCCTTGTCAAGATGGGACGTGCCAAAAGCCAAGGGCTGGGGAATATGCAAGGGGTCCACATGGCTGCGGCTCAAAAAACCGGTACCCAAAATGGATCCTTGGTAAGTGGAACCAAAGACTCAAACCTGCGTAACCCTAGGTCTTTTATTTTGAGCCACATCCACATTGGGAAGATCAATCACAAGCAAATACCTGAAAGAAAACCCTGGAGCATCACGCCTTGGGTACTATCAATGACCAAACACTTGCTCTTCAACATCGCCAGCACGTCAATGTGTGCGCTGCGTTAGCTCATAATCATGCAGGAAAATACTTTTCGCTGAGGCTGCACGCGCATCCTGAGGATGTGGCTTGAGCATTGCTTGTGTCGAAACTATCCCAATACACCAACCACACCTGGGAGCAAATGATACAACAACACGACGAATGTCAAACATTTGGGCCACCAAGTCACCAAGCAGCATAACTATTATGCACACGTCTGCTACTTATATATTCTGCCCGCGGCAACTCAATGCAAAGTAGCAGAAGGACCAATTCAAGCACAAAGCTATCATCTGGTCCAGACATTAGCAAGACAAGCCGGCTTGAGATGATTGCCACTTGCAGCCCAAAAGGTTCAAACAAAATAATAGAGTCATCATTGGCATGCACATATCATGCATGTATAGATGCATGTATAGATGCATGTCAAAAGGGTCATCATGATGACGCTGTACTGAGTGCTTCCCAAAATTTCGGGGGGCCCACAGAAAGGGTCTACGGTGCATGAGCTTGACAAGTAGCCACAAACGGCTTTGCTAACAGTTAATAGGACACCACCACAGTTTAATGAAAACAACACCATATTTTCAGCTATTGGTTTTGCGCCCCGGTGAAGCATCCAAGGGCTATTCGGCCAGGCAAGCTGCATGTGCTAAAGCAGGACGCTTCCTGTGGTGGTTTGTCCAAAACCCTCTCTTCGGCTTCCCTCAGAAGTTCCCTACGCAACACCCTGAATCGAGGAAAAGTCTGCCACATCGAATGCTTGACCCAGCTCCAAGATAAACTGGGCTGGTAGGTGGGGGAACCGCCAAGAAACAAGACACCGTGATACAAGCTCCCACAAGCCGCCACCGAAATGCAACAAGACAGCCTCCACAAATACCCAGCAGTTCAACAGCGAAATGATTGAGGCTTTGGAATGCGCGTGTGTCATAAAATAAGGGACTTATTATGACTTATTTTAATGTTGGTTTTCCGTTTGCTTTCCCTTTCAAAAAAGGGAACCCCCAAAAACAGACAGTCTCGCGTATTTCTGGCCGTGGCGCTCGCCAAAACTACCACCAGCAGATACCACGCCGATGTTCTGGGCTGCAGCCTGGCAAAAAGAGCGAATCCCGTGCCTTTTTGTTCAGGGGACCTTAATGATCCTTTCGCCAGATAGCGGGAAAGCTACAGGGGGTCTAACTTAAGGTGACTCGGGCTGCTGCTGGGTTGCAAAGGGCTGTTGCTGATAGGTGCTGCAGGCCGAGTCTCAGAGTTGCGCAGGGTGGTGCTTTTGCAGGGCTGTTGCAGGCCGAGACTCCCAGTTGGCAGGGTGCTGGTGCAGGGTGCTGCAGGCTGAGACTCAGAGTTACGCAGGGTGCTGCTGCAGGGTGCTGTCACAGGCCGACTCCGAAGTGCGAAGGGGCGCTGCTGCGCTTGCAGGTAGCTTCTACAGGCCAAGTCTCAGTGTTGCAGGGTGCTCTTGCAGAGTGCTGTTGCAGAGTGCAGGGCGAGACTCAGAGTTACGCAGGGTGCTTGTCGGCGCTGCTACAGGTACCACTGCAGGCCGACTAATTGAATTGCGCAGGGCGCAGGGTGCTGTTGCAAGCCGGGGCTCAGAGTTTCGCAGGGGCAGGGTGCTGTTACAGGGTGCTGCGCAGGGGGCTGTTGCGGGTGCTGCTGCAGGCGAAAACTCAGAGCTGAGCAGGGTGCTGCAGGGCGCTTCTGCAGAGTGCCGTTGCAGGTGCTGCTGCAGGCCCAGGCTCGGAGTTGCGCAGGGTGTGCTGCAGGGTGCTGTCGAGCGTGTTGCTGCAATGCTGCAACAAGTCGCTGTTGCAGGCCTGCTGCAACCCGAGACTCAGAGTGCGCGGGGTGCTGTTGCAGGGTGCCGCTGCAGGCCCAGCCCAAGAGTTGCCAAGGGTGCTGCTGCGTGGTGCTGTAGTCTTGCAGTTGTCGCGGAGCCCTTTCCCTCTGGCTATCATCTCGCGTTGGCGAAGCCGTCTGAGAGGCGGCGCTTTACGCAAATCCAGCAAACCATTGGCTCTGAGAGGCTGTGCGTTAGGCAAATCCGCCAAAACCCCAAATCCATCAAATCTCCGGAAAGCGGGCGCCAATGTTACAAAAATACCTAGGCAGGTTTTGGCAAGCGAATTGCCGGAGCATTTTGTTGCGAGAAATATTTTGGGCATCTTTAGTTCGTGGGCTGACAACACATTCTTGCTATCTGGGGTCTATGCTGGTATAATTTCAAGCAAAGCCAACAGGAAAACCACCATTCGTAATTTTTGTTGCCCCCTTTTGTGCGGCGTTTAAGGGAAACCGGAAGGTTTTGGCACCTTTTGTGCGGCGTTGAAGGGAAATCAGCAGAAAACCGCCATTTTGGGGGGTCCCCTGAAAAGAGACACCCCCAGCAGGGGAAAATATTTGATTGCTTTTCATCAACCATAGAAAACCTGAGTCAACGCATACATATTGACGCGGAAGAAAGCCCACACATGTAGGTGAAGCAGTATATGTCAAACTAGAGTGCCCATGTACCATCGCACTCAACATGCACCAAACTGCTGCAACTCCTGCCCCACCCTTGGCATATTATGTTCCCTGCCACTTGGACATGTTGCCAGATTTCCGAGGAGTTCGTCGCCTGTGCTGCATCGGAGCTTTGGCCCTCTTTCTTGCTCACCGAAATGGAGAACTTGCCCTGCTGAACCTGAGTGCTCGAAATTCGGCGGAACCTTTTCGAGCCTTGGGAAAGCCCAGAACCCCCCCCCCCCAAACACTCGCAGTCAAAAGATTGCATACGTGTGTCTTGGTGAATATTTATAGATACATGTATAATATTTATCGCCTTTGGGAGAAAGCTTTGACTTGACCGCCCGTCCTGAACTCTTCGTGGCTTACTTTGCTTGCCACTCGACTTAACTGTCGGTTTGGGTTGCAAAGGTCGACGTGATTGCGCTATGCAGTAGAACACATAGGGTGATCCAACCAACAATTGGCAATTGGGGACCATTGAATACCAATCCCCGAAGCAAACCCAAGAATAAGAAACATAAACTGGCGAACATGATCCAGAATGACCATCGCTGACGGCCAAGATTCAATGTAGAAGTAGTCAGCGCTGAGATCACCCTCCTGCACAAGCATTGTAAATATAATACAACTAAACAAAGCAGCTGTGAGCGTGTGAAGCTAGTCAGAAGTCGCGATACAGTGAAACTTTTTCGGCTGGCATGTTTTTAAAAGAACAACTGGCTCCCATGTGTGTTTTGCAGCTAGTCTTTTTGAGGGGTGACCATTTGAGCATGTTCGGCCAAAGGATCCAACAAACTCAGTCCGGCAAAAACCGCTGCTTTGGCGCACCACAAATCGATCCATCGGTTTCGCCAGGGCTTTCTCTTGGCAACGTCAGGGAATGATAATTGGCATGACCCCGATAAAAAAAAAAAAAACGACAAAAAACAAAACATCCAACTGGTGGTTTCCCTTCTTCGGGAATCCCCCAAAAAACGGTTCATTCAACCAACACCCGCACTCCGTCATTCCCTATCCCACCAGCAAGTTCTAGTCCCAGGGAGTACCCGTCATCTTCCAGTCCTTGATGATCTCCGTGCCAATGGGCACCGTCTCCTTCCACGCGGCATCCACCAACTGGGTGATCTTGCTGTCGTCCAAGGGCACACAGCTTTGCCTCGCTGTCAGCCCAAGCCGAAGGGTGAAGCTCAGAGAAAAGGTGTCCGGATCCATGCTTCGAATTCGCTTCGTGACACGACGACCACAAACATCCGGAAAGGTTGTGCTCTTTGGGGGTACGGGCAAACATGTTGTTGTATCGACAGCGTTGCTTTGGTCCGTTGGGGTATGGCAAAGAAACACGGGGAACCATAAGTCCGGGCTACGCGCGGACTCTCAATGGCACCCTCTCTACCCTATCCTCAGACTGGGCCCACACCATCGTGCTCAGGTTGGAAGTCACCTCCTCATCATAACTATTGCAAAACACTTCAACCAAAGCTTGTCAGGTCTTTCTGGTAATTATGCAGCATGAGCTGTTGCACGTTTCTGTCAGTTTTCTCAGAGCACAGAACGCGATGCCTGTGTTTGGCAGCTTCACAACTGCACGAAGCCCTCAGCGAACGAGAATTTCTATCCATCAGGCAGCTCGGCTCATTCTCAAGGTGTACGTGATAGCAACCTTGTGACCATCATGTCCTCTTGTGGAGAATCATATCCTCATGCCATCATGCAATCATGTGTCTGTGTTATCGTTTTGCCATTCAACGAAACCTCTGCCTGGTTCCAATCATTGCTGCACAGCAACATGACGGCTGCTTGGGTTCAAGGCTGCTAGTTTGATGGCGCTAGCGCAAGCCGGAGATTTATGGTTGTGGTGAAGACCGTCATCGCTGTCCGTCTAGCAGAACTTACAATCAATGTGTTGGCAATCCATCCCTGATCCTGGAAACCACAGGCACGTTGCAATGGATGCCAAGCTCGAGCGGGCTTCAGCATCTTATACCGGTAGGGAAACCGAAAGCTGAGCCTTCACCTGTTAGCGGTTTGGATCGGAGGTTAGCCCTGATTTCGCTGCCCTCAGCATGGGGTTCTCATCCGAGCAATCCAAACCACCCATGGAGGGATTCCTGAGTTGTCCAAAGGCCGAGCCCGCGGCGGCCAGGTGTCTGACGTTTGACGCAGCAAGGTGCTGTCCTTTATCATTCAGAAGGCTAGAAATCCATGGAATTCAGTAGCTCCAAATATAGATTCATGTCCCTGGGCCATGCCTAGAAAGGTGACAACTTCTGCCTGAACATCTTCTATAATTTTATGGCTACCGGTTTAAAGAAGCCAAAATGCGAAGCTCCTGAAGATTGAATGTTGTTGCCCTAAATGCATTCACTGCCTTTAAAAGGGCTTGCGCCCATTCCACTGGAGACCTCCACAACTACCATGGCCAAGCCACAGATTGTCATTCTTTTTCAGCGCATCCACCATGAGCTTTCGCTCCTCGCGGTGATTGAAAGCGGGCTGAGTCAGGGCCTGACCCGAAAACTTGAAATAGGCGAGCCCGAAAAAGATGAAGGAAACATGTCCTAGTTCCCTTTGAAGACATCCAATGCTGTAACCCTCAATAAATAACTAAATACCCGTCCGGGCTTGTGAGGTCAGGGAACGAGAAACAAACCAGCATTCGGAGGACATGTGCTATCACCATAAGCTCGTGATTCTGTCAGTAGTCCTCACATAGTACAGCAAGTGGTAAACCAGCAGCAAGGAAAAGCCGAATCGAATCATGATCAAACAGGCCCTACTCGTACTACAGCTTTTCCTGACCGGAAGGTGTGAAGCAAACTGTTCATGAGAACATCTAGTATACCATGAGAGTATTCTAATGAAGCAACAGTATACTCGTAAGCTATTCCACGAACAGATTACATGCATTATTCCCTCTTAGCCATGATTTGAAATTATTTTTAAAGCAATCCACGGACCCACTGAAATGATCTAGGCCATGGTATTATCCGCCATCAGCTGCATCGATGCAGACCCTTCCTCGGCCGACTTTTCGCTGGGCGGCTTGACCTGACATCCAAACGGAGGGAGAAGCTGGTTGGAGTGGCGCCTTCCCCCCCCCCCCCAAGCAAAAAACCAAAAGCAGGGAAATCACCGCCAAGTTCAGGCCTTGCTCCTTCTTTGGGGGCCCTGCCAGAAAGTGATCGCTTCGCTTGCGCGTGATGCGAATCGCGAAATAGTTTGATGGCTGAAAGAGCAAGTCAAGCCCCGAACTCCAGCTTTTGTGCTGTTCACTGATCCATTTGGTAAAGTACAGGTCAGGACTAACTGACTTGCCAACGGAACAACAGCAATATCAGATGCTGCCTTGCAAAAGAACCGGAAAGTTCAATCTTGTTGATACGGAGTGGCAGGCGCAGCATGCCAGCCCCTATTTCCTCTCAAGTGATGTTCCGAGACAAGAGCAGCTCGTGTGCTCTGAGGTACAGCAAACAGGTGGCAAGATGCCGGTAACATCAAGCCACGGACGTGAACGTCAAGTTTTTTGCCTGCTTTCTTTGAACTGGTTGCATATCATGTGGGCGTCATTGCAGCTGGGTGCCCATATTGGAGCATATGATCCCTGCGCACGAAGCCGTATCAAATGAATTCAACAAATATTGGATGTGACATGATTACGTTTCCCCCCCAGCCGGAGGAAAAGAGCTGCTAAGCTGCGAATGAGCATACTCACACACACACACACACACACCCGCGCGCGCAAGCCCAGCTCCCAACATCCGGCGCCTCGAGCTGCTTCATGGCACCTCCACCAACTGCCTGGCCAGACGAAATCGGGGGTGTTTTCCTAGGGAAAAATAGGAAGGCTGGCCATGATTTCTCCAATGTCAGCTGAATCTCATAGAGCCAGTCAAACAGCTCGCTGATCTACCCGACTTTCTGTCAGGGCACTTGTGGCAAGCGTCTAACCGTTCCATACTTGCAAAAGCTTTGAGGCACAGCCGAAGGGAACTTCACCTCGCGCTGCTTGGCTCCTTTGGCGATCAGCCTCTGAAGCGCAAAGGTTATAAGCCATCCCCGATCCGCAGTGGATGACTCACCACCAAGTCGTCAGCCTCTCAGTTTTTGCCCAAACACCATATCGATTCTGGTCCACCAGAAACAACAAGATGGGCGTTTTCTCAAAATGGGGTCCATGTCCCAAAATGGCAACAGCTTCCTTCTTGGCTTCCCTTCAAGTTCCAAGCAAAGGGTTCCGATCCGAATCCTTTGCGAAACTCCCGTGGCGTGTCTGCGCCTTGCGCTGTGGAAAGTCCAGCTTCTCGCGCAGGCCCATCTCCTACCGGGCATGCGCCGGACACCCCAAGATGGGCCCCATTTGTTCCGTGGAATCAGTGGCAAACGGCAGAGTGTATCAAACTCGGGCGGATTTTCATGTTGGGAAACCCCAAACCAACCTCGTTCCGGCATGACCTTCAATGTGCCAAACGATTTGCGGACCCTGCAGGGCCTTCAGGGACTTTCCCTTGTCCACCTTTTGTCAACCTAGAACACACATAGAAAACACACACACACACCAAACGAACCTAAAACAAACAAACGCTAAACCAACCTTAAAACCGGGGTAAATCCAAAACACCACCGGTACCCTCCAAGGCGCCGCCAAAAAACAAACACGAGGCTCCTCGAACTTGGCCCGGGAGATCCTGGGTGCAGCTTTAGTTGCAGCCACATTGAGCTACATTTGTACACGGGTGTGTGTGTTTTTTGGAGGGGACGTGCGTCCGATGTGTTTTGGGTTTCCCAAAAAAAAGAAAACAACTAAACGGGTGCCAACTCCCCAACAAAAACAAACACACCCACACATGCAAAACATTGCAAAACAACAGCTCCCCCCTGTTTGCAAGAGGCGTAGCGCTGGGCTGAACTATCCCTCATGTTGTCGGAACTGCGAGCATTCACCCGACATCCATATGAGACAAACGTTTGCGATCTCTAAGCAGCGCGACAGGTTCCAACCGAGGGAGCCGCTTATAGGTCCACAGCTCCGACTTGGCACGGATGGTGGCGGTGCGGGGCTCGTCCCGGAGCAGGGCGTTCTCCCCAAAGTAGTCACCTCCCAAACAGCACAAATGGGGTCAAAACTAGTGGTCCTCTAACATGTGTGGTCTCCTTCTGGTCCAAAAGGGGTCCAGCATTTTGCGAAACTTTCAACTGGATGGTGAATTTGCATCTGCAGGCAGTTCGTGTCTCCAACTCAATCCGAAATAGCTGTGTAAAGCACCAATAGCTTAGACTTCTTGTTTCTGTTGCATAAAAACGCACCGTGATGCACTGATCCTCCTAGCCGTGAGCCTGCCGCATGCGGCTTTACCTCAGGTCGCAAAGCAAAGAAGCAGAACACCCTGCATTGAAGTGAAGTGGCAGCTAATTTGATGGCTGCATCTGTTTCAGAAGCTCCTGGCTGGCGAGGAATCCTATAGTTTTTACGTCTGTTGTGGCTGCTGCTTGAGTGGGCTGAAACTGAGACATGCAGCGCCTCCAGTCGACACTTTGATGGGTGCAAACACGATGACTCACATAGATCCTTAAGGTCACCTCCGTCACCGGTGGTGTTCTCGCCCGCGCGGGGGGGAAAAAAAGAAGAGCCATGGCCGTGGGCCTTCTTTCAGAAGCGCCACCTGCTTGCCGGCCACCGCGACTATTGCCTGAGCGAAGCTCAGTCAAGTTGGCGCCTGCTCGAAAAGTCATCCGGAGGTGGGGTGGCTTCCCATTTACCCCCTAGCAGAACCAGAGAACTCGGGATTCAACCCAAAATCCAAACTGCCGAAGGGCTACTTGACAGCCTTTCTCAACCAAGGTATAACGGTATAACCAAGTCGCATCACCGGAACGGATCACGAAGAAGGCATCGCCGTTGTCCCCTTCTCGGATGACCTTGCGGCTATCTGGAGAAGCCCCTTCCAAAAAGCCAATGCTCAGTTCTCGAAACCATCCATACAAGACATAAGACATGTTGACTCTGAATTGGTCTTGCTAAGCTGCTTGGTGATCCTGTGGCAACTCTCTCCGGGAACTAGTCGTCTGTACCAGGACTTGTGGCGAGGAAACTATCGGTGACTGCTGATGTCGATATTGACACTCGCCTGACACTGAGAAACTGTAGCTAAAACTTCTCCCATTGGCCACCGCCAGCCATGGTACCAGTATGTACCAGTGCAAGCTACGGTTAAGCGAAAACACCATGTTCCAAAAACCTCCGGGACTTGTGTCAAAACTGCAGAGCTTCGAGCTGGGTGCATGTCCAAACAAACGTTGCTCCCTGCCGGCCAATGGCCGATCACGTCAAAATTGTTGGTAGTGGACACCATGCAACAGGAGCTCCCTGTCTTTCCGGTCGTGTCGCTTTGGAAAAGATGGGGCAAGCGGCTTTCGATGAGAGAATGCCGACCCCGGGTCCATCAATCCGGCCCTAGGTCCGGATTGAACAAAACAAAGTGATCCGGAGTGCATCTAAACTGGGAGACTTCCTGTAAATCAACCACGGGTTGATCTATCAACTAAGTCCATATTGCTTCAATGTAGGGGAAGCGGTTTCCCAACGACATCCATACATCTTCCCCTTGCGAGTATCCTTAGCGAGGGGGGGGGGTCCCCTCATGGCTTCTTTTTGGTTGCCCTTAACCTCCCAAAAGGCTAGCCGAAGGGTTCAGTACCTTCTGACGATGTACTTCAGGCAAAAGCAGGCTCAATTCAGTACATCCTCAGAAAGTACAGTTGGTTCAAAGTAGATGACACTATTCCCTGTATGTCCGTAAGTGCCAGGATCAGGTATGTGTGAAAGGGCAGCAAAACATGGCAGTTTCCGTTTCGGCTGCCTTTGAAACAAAAGTAAAAAGGGTACGCTGAAACCAGAAAAAGCAACCCTGCGGTCTCACATGGAACCCACGAAACGGTTCGTTTTTAATGAGTCTCAAAATATGGTTTGTGTGCAACAAACGAGGGGAACCCCAAAACTTGGTGGTTTCCTTGTCTCAAGGGCGTCCTTTACGCAGGGGTGAAAGTAGATGCCACAACTTCCTTGTAAGTAGTGGGGATGACGAGTGACCATGGCTTGGAATGCCATCTTTCACCCATCAAAACTGGGTTTGTGCATTTATCACGCTAGGGGGCCCCCGATCAATCAGGCGGCTTCCTTTCGGAGTCCTTTGGGCTTCCTTTGTGCCAACCCGTTTGGGTGTGTCTTTTTAGGGTACCCCAAATTTGGCTTCCGGTTTCCTTTGGCTTCCCTTTAAACCCCCTTAAACTCCTTCTCCGTGCAAAAAAGAAACACTCAGGCCCCCCCCAAAAAAAAACACACACAACTGAAACAGTAATAAACAATGAATCAATGAATAATAAGAATGCCACAAAGGGCACTTTCCCTCTCACCCCCACCTCAACAAAAAGAACAAGTCAGCACAAAAGACGAGCCGCCCAAAGCTTTGGGCGGACCCAAAACCCAGCCCTGCCTCGTCGCCGGCCTTGAAGCTCACCGCTTCACAGGCGCTCGCCAGGGCAGGCATCTCCCCTGCGAGCTGAGATCCAACGAGTTGAAGTAAATATCGGTTTTGTGTATATCTATATATATATATATATATGTATCTATATATATATATATGTATATATATATATATGTACATATGCATGTATGACATATAGAAATCTAATATGTATACTGTTATGTATCTTTAGGCATGCATGCATGTCATACATATGGTCCGGGCTCCGGGTTCCCAGTCCCCCCCCCCAAATGGTATCCCCCCCCCAGCAGAGTCCCCCCCCCCGGCAGAACCCGACCCCCGGGAGAAGCCCTGCTGCTGCGGTCCCGGACCGGCCCGTTCACCCCTGAACCCACACCTCGGCACGCCCTGCAACCCTAAACTAACCCTAAACTAACCCTAAACCAACCCTAAACCAACCCTAAACCAACCGTAAACTAGCTCGAAACACACATCTTCAAACCGACACTTGACACGTTCTGAGCACACTCTAAACCAAGCCGGAAGCCACTTAATCAACCCTAAACAAACCGTAAACCAACCTTAGATTAGGCCAACCCCTAAGCACATATCTTAAACCAACACTAAGCACGCTCTAAACCACCCCGAAACTAACCTAAACCACCCCTGCACCAAGGATAAAGCTCTAAACCAACCATAAACCAACCTTAAACCAACCCTAAACACATATTTTAAACTAACACTAACACACACTCTAAACCAACCCTAAACCATCCTAAACCACTACAACCCGGAGGGTTGGTCTTAGACCAACCACAACCAACCACACCACAGGGGGGGAGGGGGGGAGGGGGGGGACTTGAACCCTTGACCATATATGAATATGTATAAATATATGATTGCCTATGTATGCATGTTTGCGCAGAACATAGATGCACCCAGTACCACCGTGGCATGTGTGTTTACGTGTATCCATCAACCAGCAAGAATCCTCAAAGAAAAGAGCCTTCACTCAAAGAATGGCACAGCACGTGGCTGGGAGGTCAAAGTTGAAGCGTTGGCCTGAGGGGACCGTAACCTCGCGCGAAGTGGCCTGCGGAAGGGGCAGGGAGGACGGGAGTACATCAACCCACCTGAGATTTTTGGACCCGCTTTTTGGAGGCAAGAGACTTGCAAGGCGCGCAGTTGGGCATGGAGGTTGCCAGAGTGTTCCCTTCTGGCGTGGCCTTTGGGGTCGGGCTTCAGCCACTCAGCCAGCAATCCATCAGGCATAGTAGTGTGACAGAAAACAAAGAGGGCTCAAAATGGCTCAAACCAACAGACAAGTCATACCACACGGATTCCCGAACGTCGGGAAGAGGAACCGTCTGCGAAAAGAAGCGCCCCATCTCCGCTCGCAAACAAACAACATGGAGAGTCAAGGGAGAGGAAGTCTTGAAATTTGGGGGACCCCTCGAAAAAATGGTTTCCCCTTGGTGTTCCTTTGAATAAGGCCACAAAGGATACCCTCAAACACAACCACGAAGCCAGGCATGCCTTCCCGCAGGCGCTTAAAGAGCTTCACCTGCGCCATGAGGTCTCTTGCCAGCGGGAAAAGGGGAGGGCCCAACAAACAAGGTACACCTTGTTTTTTTGCAGCCTCCCACAAACCTCAAAACAAACCTCAAAAATGAACAGAGCTAAACAAACCTCAAAACCTAAAAACATGCTAACAGTGAAGTTGAGGTACCATAACAACTGTGAACCTTCGGGTGCGTCTACTTTTTGGCCCCCCGAATTGGGGGTTTCCTTTTGTTTCCCTTCAACCCCACCAAAAATGGGTACCTCAAAACAAACGAGCCGCCCACCACCACTTGCCAGGCTGACTGGCCGTGTAGCGCTTGGCAGTGTCTTTCCCTGAAGGATGGCCAACAAAAACCAAACGTCGTTCAAAGCCTCCGTTTCGGCGCTTGCCGTGTCCGAAAGAGGACGCTCCAGCAGCTGACCCGAGGGGAAGAGCCTTTCGCCGCCCAAGTCCAAGAGTCCCCCTCCCCCCTCCCCGCATTCTGCCCTTCGTGACATATCGCGACTCCTATCACATGACCCTTGCTTGGCATTGTTCAACAAAAGCAACACTAGATGTTTACCCTCTGCGAAGCAACTTTCCTTCAGCCCCACAAATCTCAGAGTTGGTGTCAAGGAAACAAGCGCGAGACCTTTTGAGCAAGTCCCCACTTGTGATACAGGGCATGACTAGCCTATTTAGCTCCAACCGGTGTCCAACAGTGGCCGTCCACTGCCCTCGTTTGCTCAAGCTACAGGATGGGCTAGCTCCAGCAAAGCTGAGGTTGCGCCAACGAGCTTGAGCAGACACGTGACACCTTACACACGTGCCTGCAATTACCAAACAAGCGAATTATCCATGAGGCAAAAAAGGTACGCAGTACTAAGGGATATAACATAATTGTTATAAGGGAACCACCGCCTGATGTGCCACTTCCAATCATGACTACAACCCGGAACGTCGAAGTAGGTCCATGCCATGTCCAACAGACCTGGAGCACTTGGGCTACTTTGGGCATGGTTAACCATGTCATGTCGGCTACTCGCCTTTGCGTGCTGTAGCCGAGATGATCAGAAAGGCAGGTTGCTTGCAGGGACAGTTGCATAGGCAACATCGTTTTGACGATTGCTTCAGCACGGCCAGGCATTTACACACACAAACTCTTTAGACACGCTACTTTGCCCGTCACGAGGGGCAACGGGCAAAGAGGACTGACTACTAGTTTTGTTCGGCAAACATCCACCTAAGCGTTCTGGCTGCTAAGCGTTCTAGCTGAATCGGTATGCTTTCAAGGACTCATGTTATTATGTTATACCTGTTTCTAAAACATCTGCCCTAGTTAGACTTTGCCGTCCACAGTTGCACACAAGGTACACGAAAGAAGATGTTTCTTAAACAAGCATGATTCTGCTTACCCGTGTTCTTAAACCAACAGATGCTCTTTCTTAAATGAACCGAGCATGATTCTGCTTCATTTGTCTATATAAAGCAACAATCGCTTTGGAGGCGACGGTCAAAGTTGATCCGGGTCCCAAAACTGCCTGCGCGAGGAACTTCCCAGGCTGGGAATCCACAACGGGACGGCCTGCAATTGGAACCCGTGGCTCCATCCCGTTTGAGGTGTCCTCACTTCCGATCGAGTGGATGGCCCCAAAACGGTCCAGGAAATTGTTTTTCTATCACTAAAATGGTCCAAACCCAAAAAGCGGCGAGTCCAGCAATTCAGGGAGTCAGTGTCCTATTGCATGAACTTTGGCATTTCTGAAACCTGGGCGAGTCAGCGAACACCCCAAGTACATCCAAGTACATCAGACTGCCATGATTTTCTTTTCACAAAGTGGAAGCAAGAAATCCCCAAATAAACCTTCATGGGTGAGCTTGCCAAGATTGGTGAAACTCGTGGTCCGGGGATTGGTGAGACCACAAAATCGAAATAGACTTCATGGGCTCCAAGGCATAGCTGCCCGGAACACAGTTGCATGTGGGGTGCAAAAGGGCGATCAGCAGACAAGGTGACTTGGCTGTTCAAAGAGCCGCACTCAAAAGGGGCTCAAACCAGATAAACTTCCAACTTGAGTCAACATAAGGATCCTATTTGTTTCAGGCATGGGTATGCAACATGCAGGGCTTGCTTTGCATTGAAACCCTTCTCTTTTCTTCAACCCTGTCCAGGCCGCGTTAGCCTTGATCAAATAGCCCTGGAACAAACGAATAGCCACTTGGATTTCTGGGACTCAGCAAAGACTTCAAAAACCGTACTGCGTTCTGCCCGCATATGTCCCCTTGCCGGGGACGTACTTGTCAACTGGGGAGGCCTGTGCTAGACTAAGTGGTGTGGCTCCTGATTTTTGAGACTTTCTGATGCAATGTATTGATATATTTTAGCTATTGAAACCCTTTCTGTCGGGACAAATCTCCGCCGATTCTCTCCAAGCGCTTGAGCCTGAGGCTGGAAACTTTTAGTTTTGCATCGCGAGCTGTATCGACCACGCCGCCCTCCGAGTTTGTGATTTGCTGAGCTTGTGCATGTCTGGGGGGCTGTTCGCCCCGAAAGTACTGGACACATGCAGTGAATGATGCCTGGAAACAAAAAACCAACCTGCGGAGCTCAAGGTCAAACAATAATTATCAGAAACACGATTTCTCCAAAACGCGCAGAGTTACAAGAAAACTGCCGAGTATCTCTTCCCCTCGGACCTCCCCAGCGTGTCTATTGCAGCCTCCGGCCCTCGAGTCCACCCTGGGCTGCGGCACGTCCTCAACGAATTCCGCAAACTGCGCGTGGAAAGAAACTGGGGTATTTGGACAATTGGGGTCTGTCAGTTCAGATGGGCGGACGATACTATTTGAACAACTACTCAGGTCTATCAGTTTGGGTGCCTGGATGATAAAAAGAAATAAGTTGCCGCGCGAGCTTCATTGTGTTACGGATACACTGCTTGCCACAAAGGGAACTCTGCGCAGGGCGTCTGAACATGGGCAAGTCCCTTCATCTGCACTGATTTGTGTGTTGAACGTCTGAAAACAGCATGGAACCAACCGTCAGGGTGGTTTGGAGACACACCCAGGTACATGTGGGTTGTGCTGCTGCCCCGCCATTCGCGCTTTCCCATTGAAGAATCCAAAAAAAAAAAAAAAAAAAAAAAAAAAAAAAAAAGAATTAGATCCAAACCGAGGCTGGGCAAGCCTCAAGCCATTGGCTATGGTCACTTCTTTTTTGCTGGGCCGCAGAACTCAAAATCAATCTCGTGAATAATGCTCACCCCAGCTGCAAGTTGCGATGTGGAAACACAATGAAGGCGGTGGAGCATGTTAAGACCAAAGACACGTCGAACAAGAAACAGCTCGACCGTTTTCCAAGCCTCAAACACGAACGCAGCCGAAATGGAACCAATTAAACATGGCCGGGTTCCTCAGATTGACAGCCAATAGACGCCGCACGCTGCCAAGCCCTCTCCTCCTGTGCATGGCTGCAATCTTTGCACAGCAATGCTCCCATGGCGCCCAGCCTCGATTCGCATGGCAAGTGTCTCACAGCCGAGCAAATCGTTCAAATAGATTTGGACTCCAGCACATAATGCCACCGGTGCCTTTGGGGTCACGGAAAGACTTTGTCGGTGAGCCAACCCCACTTGGTGCCCGTGCTATTGTCAACTTGGCTAGTCAAGGAAGTGGTGGCCGCCATTCACTACCGGCACAGACCCAGGCCTGAAAGCTTTGAGGTTATAAAACCCTGACACCAAGGAAAACCGAAGACCTGAAACGCGACTTGAAAGGCGGGCCCAAACTCATCAACAACATCAGCCAACACGACAACGCCAATGACTATAGAGTAGCAGCAGCAGCGGTGCCAAAACAAACATGTAACAACAAAAGGTAAAATAACTCACCATGGCACTATGTGGAGTTCGTAGCTTCTGAATCACCCTCAGGACGTCATTAGCTGCTTTCCAAAACTATGTGCAACCAGCGGTCGTTGGAACAAAGGCCTTGGACGGATGGAGATGGTTTGCAAAAACACAACCTTTGGAAGGAGCTGGCCGGTGCAGGAAACTCTCGTTAACAAAACCAGGCTTCGGAGGGATGGGCTTCTGGCCTCCAGGCACATCCAGTTCATGCAGATGCAGGTTTCGAATGCATTGACGCTGTGGACGATTCCGTTCTGCTGATGCTGGAGCGGTTTCGTTGACCTCGGGTCACTCCTCATTGAACTCAAGACCCTTTCTCTGTCTATCTCTGTCCCCGATTTCACTCTTGCCGGCTTAAGGGTCGGTGTGTCTGTCTCTGTCTGTGGCTGTATGTCTGGCTGTCCGCCTCTGTCTCGGTTGTCTGTTTGTCTCTGTCAGTCTGTCTGTCCCTGTCCCTGTCCGTGTCTCTGTCTCAGCTGTCTGCCTGCACACGTGTCTGTCCGTCTGTCTGCCTGCTTGTGTCGCCTGTATTCTGCTCGTTTGTTTGCCGGTCTGTCGGTCTCTCGGTCTGTCTGCCTGTTTGTCTGTCGGTGCTGTCTGCTTGTGTTTTGCCGCGTCTCTCTCTCTTGCGGGCCTGCTTTCCCTTGTGCTTTCTGCAAGTCAGGCTCCGCTCAGCGTTTGCCAAAGCTGGTCTTGCTTTGAGCTACTCTGTGGAGCACGCGCGGCGAGAGTCCCCAGTCTGAGCTTGTTTCAAGATCGTCTTGAACCCCTGCTTGCGCGGCTGCGCTGTGCAGACCTCAGCTAATTGTTTTTGAGCCGGTGTTGAGTTGGTGTTCTGCGCCGCCTACCCTAAATTGTTCCAAGGCTGAGGCAACTTTGAGAAACTTCCTGCCACGCTTGCCTTGGCTCCAGCTTTCTTGTTCAGAGCTCTTTCTGCGCTCTTTTTCTTCAGTTCGGGGCAGGAGCCTCTTCCTTTGAGCGCAGGTTTTGGACTAGTTTGCCAGCCAGGCTGCTTCTGTTTGCTGTGTGCGCTGTGAGAGAGAGAAAGAGAGAGAGAGAGAGAGAGAGAGAGAGAGAGAGAGAGAGAGCCCGTGTGTGTGTGTGTCTCTGTGTGTCTGTGTGTCTGTGTGTCTGTGTGTCTGTGTTTGTGTGGTTGTGCGATTGTCCGTTTGCGTATTTGTGCCAGTGTTTGTGTGTCTGCATCTGACGGCGTGTTTGCGTGTTTGTGCGTTTTGGGTGTTTGCGTTTGAGTTGCTTCCGTTTGTGTTTGGCTTTTGTTTTCTCGCTCGTGTTCGTGCTTGTGTGTGCGTTGGCCAGATCTGCCGAAACTCCCTGCAGGCCGCCGCGCAGCTTGGAGCTTCGCGTTTGCTTTCATCTCTCTTCGGTTTGCCGTTGGTTGTTGACGTGACGGTCTCTGCGCAGCATTCGCCTCCTTGCCTACGCGTACCTTCCCCTCGGTAAGGCGTTTTTCCCTCTGACCCGTCCAACATCGCCAGCGCGCAAGGAACGCCGAGCCCCTGCAGAGCACGACTGTTCAAAAGTTCATGTCAGCGCGGTTCATGGAGTCAGGGCTGCGGTTTCAGGGTACCAGGAGCAGCGCGTGCCATCCCTTGCGCGCGCTGCGTTTGACCAAAAACACCGGTCGCCGTTTTAGTAGAAGCGGCTGCAGAGCGCGCTGTCCAGGCTCGCCTGCTGGTCGCCTTTATGCCAGCCTCAAGGGCTGTGGCCGCAAGGTTGAGGCCCATGGCGGGCCGGTTGACGAGCTCGGACTTGTCGGCGTCAAGCTTCTTGCGGAGGTTCGTTCTTCGGAGCCAGCACCCCTCGGACACTGCCACTGCCAACCTTGAGGACGCAGCCCGCCTCGTGCGGGTAGGCGCGCAAGAGGGCCTAGAGCGGCAAGCGCCACTCTTGGTGGAGGCCTTGTCGACGTCCCTGTCGCCCTTCTTCTTGTCGCCCCGCGGCACGGTCGCTTGTGTGTGTGGAACGCCTTGGAGCACAGACGCTCGTCTTGTGTGTGTTTCTGGGGTCTCCCGCTCCGGGGCGTTGCTGCTTTTCAAGCTTCGTGCGCGCTTTCGTCTCTGTTCTGGTTTTGCTGGTCTGTGACGTGTTTTTGTCGACGGTCTCTGCGCAGCATCTCCCGACATCCCTGCCTGCGCATGCGACGCCAGACCTGCCTCGCGACAGTGCGTATGCTTGGTTGCTTCTTTGTTTGCTTGTTTTGTTTGATTGACTGATTCACTGTTTGTTTGTTGTTGCGCGCGTGTGTGTGTGTGTGTGTGTGTTAGTTATTAGACCCCAGCGGCAAAGCGGCCTCGGCGACCAAGGCTAGAAGTTGCAAAGGTTAGAAGTAGCCTGAGCTCTTAGCTAACCACTTGCACTTTCCGGATAAGCGTGCCCGCAATTTGTCATGTTTACGCTGCTATAGCTCGCTTTAATTTGAAGAACTGATTTTGCCAGTAATGTTCAGAGTGTAGTTGCACTCACAATTGCCACATGGTAACAATGCAGTTAGCGACCTTTGGGTAACAGACCGAACCGAGTAGTAAAACCCTTTTGCGTCGAAGCGCGCATCTGAATCTTTCCGACTGGTTGGGCAAGTCTCGCACAGCGCGTGGGCTAGTAGCGCCAGGCTCTGCAGCTCTTACAAGTCCAAGCTCGCAACCCTTCTTGAGATTTCTCACAGGGGCACCAAGCATTATTGAAGCCCATCTTCTTCAGCAGGGCCATGTTCCGCGGCCACGCCCAAGTCTCAAGCCAAATCGCTTCTTGCACGCACTGTTGCCAAAATCTTCTGCGACAAACAGTAGCACCACAAACGGTCACATTTGGCCCCTTTGCTGCGGGGCATGCGACGGCCTCTGCGCCGGCTCGGTAGACAACGCGAACTGGAAGGGCTGGCACGCGTCCAAGAACTTCGGGCGAAAGACTGGGCGAGCGCTCGGTGGTGAGCCGCCGCAAAAAATCACCAACAACGATGCCCCTGACACGCCCGTCCGGTTGGCTTCCGCAAAACAACCATGCGGCACAGTCCGAACGCCGATGCTATGGCGGAGGGCGCGCGGGCCTGAGCGAGTTCTTGGCTTGGCTTTTCAACTTGAAAAGCTATCATCCACCAAAATCCACTGGTGGCAGCACTGTGTTTGAGCAGTTCCCGCAACCAGGCAACGCCACTACCAAATCTTGCTCACCAGTTCACCAACCCCAAGATAAAAACATCTTCACTTTGAACAAACTCTGTGGTAGCCCCAAGTCGCGCGACGTTGCTAGAATTTGCCCGGCCACGCTTGTTTGTTTTGCGATCCTTGGCCACGGCGGGCTGCACCAACATCTGCGGGCACCAAGTTGTTGGAACTGCACATTTCCACCATTTCAGCGCCTGTCTGTCTGTCTGTCCGTCCGCCTTTCTGTTTGCCTGTCTTTGCCAGTCGTTTTGTGTGTGTGTGGGGCTCTGTCTGTCTGTTTGTTGCCGTCTCTTGCCTTTTCGCGTCTGTGGGCAGATCTTACTCAAAGCTAGGTCCGCATTTGCTACTTGCTCCCCGTGGGCCCAGCGCCAAGCTCTATGCTCACTCAACTGCGACATGAACATGCCCGCAAATGGGAACCCAGGCCTCTAAGCTCAATCTGGTCAGCCTAACTACTCATGTATGATTATACGCGCGTGCTGGGCCTAAGTCCAAAGTTGTTTCAGGAAATTGGGCGCAGGGTTTGGCCCGTGGAAGGTGCGCTCTGGCGTTGTTCCCCGAGTAGGTCAAGACTAGAACCCTAGAGGTTACAGTAGCTTGCGAGCGCAGAGCCTAACTAGCTCCAACTGGATCAGCCTGAGACCCATCCTTTTGGGTGTGCCGTTTTTGCAGTTAGTGCGCCTTTTCTTCTGGCGTTGAAGGGAAACCATTTAGGGGGATCGTTTAACAAAAGCATTTTTGGTGGCTGGTAAGCGCAGAGAGCTTGGTTGGGCACATCAGACGCAGAGCTGTTCCATATTGATCCAAAAGAAGTGTGAATTATGGAGGGCGGGTTTAGTGTCCATATTGGCCGCAGGCAAATAGATTTATGACAGAAAAATCATTAACATTCGAGCAGTATTAATGGGCCAAGCGTCCTCCAGACATGGAGTTATGCCGTGATGGCTCACAACACAACAAAAGTAATGAGCCAACGCTGTTGTCTTAACATAGCTATGATAGGTACACTCTTTCCAGGCATGAAGCAACCCGATACCAGCATGGCTATTGACAGAAACATGCTACGCTTGATAATTCAGCCAAGACAGCAGCGACAGCCAAATCAGCAACAACGCCAGCGAGAACGACTGCAACAACCGAAACAGCGACCAGAGCAACCGCAACAGCGTCAGCATTTGCAACAATCATGACGAAAGGGACGACGACAGAGGCGCCACCGACATGCAGCAGCAGCGACAACGACGACGACCACGACAACAACCACCACCACCACCTCCACCACCACCACCACCTTCATGACAACGACCACGACAGCGACAACTGCAACGACAGCGACCACAACAACAACGACGACGGCGACGGCGACAACTGCAACGACAGCGACCGCAACAAAAACGACGACGGCGACG